AACAAGACCACATTCGACTAGAAAGAGAAATAATGGCAGAAAACGACCACCCTTTCATCATTCGCCTGGGTAGGGTTTAGGGTTTAGGGTTTAGGGTTTAGGGTTTAGGGTTTAGGGTTTAGGGTTTAGGGTTTGGAGGGTTAGTGGTGGATGGGTGAGGTCGAGGTAAGCGTTTTAAATGGTGGCTCAGCTTTTATTCTAGGCTTGATTTTAGGGTTTAGGATTTAGGGTTTGGGGTTTAGGGTTTGGGGTTAAGGATTTAGGGTTTAGGAGGTGGATTTGTGTGGTTTTTCGAGTTTTTGGGGTCTTTTTGCGCCGCTTTTTCGGCAGAATATGCAGAACGCGTTGGGGAATGGAACTAAATGGTATTTTTAGTTCAAATTGTTTTAAAAGGTTTTAAAATGTCTTTTTTTCTCAAGGGAGGTACCAGGCGCAGTTTTACCTGGCCTCGATCGTGCTGGCCATCGAGTACCTGCACGAGCGGAACATCGCGTACAGAGACTTGAAGCCGGAGAACATTTTGCTGGATTCTCAGGGTAAAAAGGTGGTTTTTGTTGGTTTTTTTGGGGTTTTTCGGGAGATTTCTTTTGCTTTTTGAACTCCGCATTCTTTTATTTCCTAATTGGAGTTTATTTCCTTTTTTTTGAACTTAAAATGGACTCAGGATACGTCAAACTCATCGACTTCGGCTGCGCCAAGAAAATGCAGGGAAGAGCCTACACGCTCGTGGGCACTCCGCACTACATGGCGCCGGAGGTCATTTTGGGTTTGTCGACTTCATTTTAATTCCATTTATTCCATTTTTCATTTAATTTAATTCATTTAATTCATTTAATTCATTTAATTCTTTTATTTCTTTTATTTTACTCAAATTGCGGTCTTAATGATACTTCTAAAGCCACTTCACTCCACAAATCCGCAAAACCCACGACGCCTCCGACACTCGGGTGTACAGACACCCGAAACCGGTGTGGGGCCGCGAGTGCATGCAGACACTCCAATTAATTATTTTATTTATTTAATTTTAATTAATTAATCAATTAGTTAATTGATTATGTTTTAATTAATTAATTAGTTAATTATATTTTAATTAATTAATTAGTTAGTTAATTATATTTTAACTAATTAATCAATTAGTTAATTATATTTCAATTAATTGATTAATTAGTTAATTATATTTTAATTTATTTATTAATTAGTTAATTATATTTTAATTAATTGATTAATTAGTTATTAATTAATTGACTAATTAGTTAATTATATTTTAATTAATTAATTAGCTATATTTTGATTAACTAATTAATTAGTCAGTAATCAATTAGTTAATTATATTTTAGTTAATTAATTAATTAGTTAATTATATCTAAATCTATTTAGTTATTGTTAAATTAGTTAATTAGGTAATTGAGTAGTTGCTTTACGAACAAATCACCAAATCAATTATTAATAAGCCACCTAAATGAATCATTCATCAACATTTATTCTTTATTTATTATTTATTATTATTTATTTATTTATTATTTATTATTTATTTATTTATTATTTATTTATTTATTTTTATTTTTTTATTTTTGTTTTGTAGGAAAAGGATATACTTTAACAGCAGACACTTGGGCCTTTGGGGTTTGTCTTTACGAATTCATGTGCGGCCCTTTGCCCTTTGGAAACGACGCGGAGGACCAGCTCGAGATCTTCAGAGACATTCTCGCAGGTAGGGTTTAGGGTTTAGGGTTTAGGGTTTAGGGTTTAGGGTTTAGGGTTTAGGGTTTAGGGTTTGCGGTTTGTGGCGTGGCGGTGGGGCTGGGGTCCTGGGGCCTGGGGTTCCGCCGAAGCGGCGGCCGCAAAAGCGGTGGTGATTACAGCGTTTGGCGCCTAGGGTTTAGGGTTTAGGGTTTAGGGTTTAGGGTTTGAGCGCAGGCAAACTCATATTCCCCCACTATGTAACTGACCAAGACGCAATAAATCTTATGAAGCGGCTTCTGTGCCGTTTGCCTGAAGTGCGAATTGGCTGCTCAATTAACGGATACAAAGTGAGGGTTTAGGGTTTAGGGTTTAGGGTTTAGGGTTTAGGGTTAGGGGTTTAGGGTTTAGGATATGCGATGTAGGGTTTCGGTTCAGTTCACAACGGAGCACGCGGTTTTCGGGTTGACGGCTGAGGGCTGTGGTCTGGAGGTTGAGGGAAAAGGGCTTAGGGCTTAGGGTTTAGGGTTTAGGGTTTAGGGTTTAGGGTTTAGGGTTTAGGGTTTGCGTTCAGGACATTAAGGAGCACGCCTTCTTTTCGGACTTCGACTGGGACAGACTTGCAGGAAGAGATTTGTCTCCTCCGCTTTTGCCCAAGGGGGAAATCTACGCAGAAGACGCGGAGGAGGTAAACCCTAAACCCTAAACCCTAAACCCTAAACCCTCGCGTTGAGGGCTAAACCCTAGCGCGTCGTGGCTGCCCCCTCCCAAACCCTCAGCTGAGACCCTAAACCCTAGATGTAATTCGAGCGCTTTGGAGAGCCTTCTGACCCCCTGGGGTGCTAAACCCTAAACCCTAGCTAACCCTAAACCCTAAACCCTAAACCCTAGCTAACCCTAAACCCTAAACCCTAAACCCTAAACCCTCGCTGCTGGTGGGGTTTGAAATTGCTCTTTAGGGAGGATTGGACATTGAGGAAGACGAGGGCATAGAACTTGAAGACGAATATGAATGGGACAAGGACTTCTAAACCCTAAACCCTAGCAAACCCTAAACCCTCATTTGGTGTTTTAGCCCCTTAGGGCTTTTCTCCCTAACTAATTTACCAAGCTGCCACTGTGCAGCAGCAGTGAGGGTCTTCGCAATATTTTCGTTTGGAAACTTGCTGCTGCTGCTGCAGCAGCAGCAGCAGCAGCAGCAGCAGCAGCCCACTCTGTGCGACGAGAGCTGTTGCTGCTGTGAGTGCGCTGCTACTCTCGCTGCTGCCGTCAGCACCGCAGCAGCAGCAGCAGCAGCAGCAGCGGCAGCAGCAGCAGCAGCAGCAGCAGCAGCAGCAGCAGCAGCGTGTCTGGCTGTTTTTGCTGCTATTCTGTAATCATATTTTGTTGGTTCTTTAGTGTGTGTACCTTAAACTCTTGCCGTTGGCTTTGCTGCTGCAGTGCTGCTGCAGCGGCGGTTTGCTGATGCTGCTGCAGCAGCGGTTTGCTGCTGCTGCTGCTGCTGCTGCTGCTGCTGCAGCAGCGCGAAGCCAGACTTGAGCCCGCGTAGGGTCTTTTCGATTGCTGCAGCTGTTGACGGAGAGTCTATTAATTGTTTTATATAAATTACAAATTAAAAATAAAATAAAAATAAAAATAAAAATAATTAGAAATGATGTTAATTACAATTTATTACTTTTAGTCGGGAAAAAATATAATTCGGATTCGTAGGGCCAAAGACAGCTTGCTACATTTCTAGGGTTTAGGGTTTAGGGTTTAGGGTTTACGCAAGCCTTCCTCACACAGATTCGTAGGGCGGAAGACAGCTTCCTAATTTCTAGGGTTTAGATAGGAGGGTTTGGGGTTTGGCATTTAGGGCTTAGGGTTTAGCATTTAGGGTTTAGGGTTTAGCATTTAGGGTTTAGGGTTTAGGGTTTTCGAGACCAAATGAACTAAGCTTCACCAAACTTCAAAACAAAGTCGAAAATGAAAACCCAAAAGAGCCTCAAATCATTTGCCCAGCTGGGGGGCCCCCTGGGGGCCCCCAAGACCCCCTGGGGGACCCCCTGGGGACTCTCATACCCAACAGGGTACAGGGGGCCCCCTTGGGGCCCCCTGTACCCAACAGGGGCCCCTGTGGGGCCCCCTATACCCAAAAGGGGCCCCCATGGGGCCCCCCAAACCCAAAAGGGGCCCCCATGGGGCCCCTCAAACCCAAAAGGGGCCCCCGTGGGGCCCCTTATACCCAAAAGGGGCCCCCACGGGGGCCCCTATACCCAAGAAAGGCCCTTCGGGGGCCCCTAGACACAAGAGGGGCCCCCTTGGGGCCCCCTATCCCCAAGAGGGGCCCCTGTTCTGGGGGCCCCCTGGACCCAAAAGGGGCCCCCGGGGGGCCCCAGGGGGCCCACAAGACAGAAAGGGACTTCTTGAAAATCCCAGGAAGGCCATTAAAGCCAACCTGGGTACTTCAGGGGGCCCCCAAAATCAGAACGGCCCCTGGGGGCCCCTGGGGGCCCCTGGGGGCCTCAGGGGGCCCCCAGGGGCCTCTGGGGGCCCCTGGAGGCCCCGGGGGGCCCCCCAGCCCTCACTGACTCGCGGCCCCTGGCTGGGGGCCCTCCAGGGGGCCCCCCTCCTGTGGGGTCCCCCCTGTTGAGTCTGGTGAGGAGGGTCCATGGGGGCCCCCCAGGGGAGATTCTGCAGCAGGGGGCCCCTGGGGGGCCCCCCCTGTTGACTCTCTTGGAGGTGGGGGCCCCTGGGGGGCCCCCCCAGTTGAGCCTGTAGAGGGGGCCCCCGAGCCCCCCTGAAGGGCCTCCTGGGGGCCCCCCTGGGGGTCCCCTTCAGGGGCCTCGTTAGGGGCCCCCTCGGGGGCCCCCTCGGGGGCCCCCTCGGGGGCCCCCTGGGGGGCCCCCTGGGGGGCCCCCTGGGGGGCCCCCTGGGGGGCCCCCTGGGGGGCCCCCTGGGGGGCCCCCTGGGGGGCCTCCAGTTGCTGGGGAAACGCTATATTGAAAACTTGGTCATAATCATCTACGAAGTGGACATCGAGGCCCTCCTGAGGAACCCAAACCCTAAACCCTAAACCCTAAACCCTAAGTCTGCCAAGCTGCAGAGGGCAGGCGTAAATTTCCACTCCTTGCGAGGCTTTACAAAGGGTTTAGGGTTTAGGATTGAGGGTTTAGGGTTTAGGGTTGAGGGTTTAGGGTTTGGGGTTTAGCTGACCTTCACATTAGGAGGAAGCTCTTCGAAGTCTCGCATGTTTCCCCGCGGGAAGATTAGGGTCTGCAGTTCAAACCACGATTTAGGGTTTAGGGCTTAGGGCTAGGGTTTGGAAGTTCCAGAGAATAACGTTTCAGAATCACCCACGGCGTGCTGCTTTGAAGGGCTAAGGGTTTAGGGTTTAGGGTTTAGGGTTTAGGGTTTACCTTCAGGTTCTCGCGTTTCGCCGCAATAACTTTTTCCTTGATGCCACCCACCTTCAGGACCTTGCCTGAGCAGAAAAGGGTTTAGGGTTTAGGGTTTAGGGTTTAGGGTTTCTCCAGGTCTGCGGCTTGACGCTGAGCTCTTCGAAGAGCTCCACACTCAGAGTGCGGCAGATATAGCTGCCCTGGCGACTGACAGTTAGGGTTTAGGCTTTAGGGTTTAGGGTTTAGGGTTTAGGGTTTACCTGTGAGCGTGAGCTCTCCAGTCATCGCTAAGTCGGGTTTAGGGTTTAGATTTAATGCCAAAGAAAGAAGAGCAGAAGCAAGAGTGACTCCAGCAGAGGGGCCGTCTTTGGGCGTTGCGCCTGCGCCGCACGAGGGTTTAGGGTTTAGGGTTTAGGGTTTAGGGTTTAGGGTTTGGGGGTTCTGGCGGCCGGCGCCCTCCTGAGCGAGGGTTTAGGGTTTAGGGTTTAGGGTTTAGCGCTGGGGGGCCGTTCGGTCCGCCGCGCGAGTGCGAAGAGCCGAACCCCTACGCGCCTACGACTTGCGAGGGTTTAGGGTTTAGGGTTTAGGGTTTAGGGTTTGGGACCTTCGGGGACATGCAGATGAATGGCGCTTTCAAACAAATAATTGTTATTAGGGTTTTGCTTTTTTATAAACCCTCGCGAAAAGGTCATAGCGATTTCGCAACTCTCATTCATCACTCCTCCCAGCTGCCCCGTCACTTTCAAACTGCCCCCAGTCCTGCGCACAAACCCTAAACCCTAAACCCTAAACCCTAAACCCTAAACCCTAAACCCTAAACCCTAAACCCTAAAAAGCAGGAGCTGCCCACCGCCTAGGTTTGGTGCTGCTTAAACCCCCGCGCGCTGCGGCGGGCCTCGCCACTCGCCGCTGAGGCTCCTTTAGGGTTTAGGGTTTAGGGTTTAGGGTTTAGGGTTTACGATTTGAAGTCCCCTTTCGAGGGTTTAGAGCTGCCCTGCTCTGCGCTCCTCCCAACAGCTTCCACAAATATCACAGCGCCTCCCATTGCCGTCCAGGCCAGGCCCATGACCACTCCTGCGGGCAAAAATAGGGTTTAGGGTTTAGGGTTTAGGGTTTAGGGTTTAGGGTTTGGGCGAAGGCACTGGGGGTTTGGGACCTAGCGAGGGTTTGGAGCCGAAGGAGAACTATGCAGCCCTTCGGTAATAGCGGCGAGGGTTTAGGGCTTTGGGGCCAAAAGACTTCAGGGCAGAACTAGGGTTTAGGGTTTAGGGTTTAGGGTTTAGGGCTTGAGTGTAGGCAGCAAGAACTAATCAGCTGTTAGAAAAACGCTAAACGAGGGTTTAGGGTTTTGGTGGACCCTCGACGGCCTAGAGACTGCAGAGTCCAGTAGGGTTTAGCGTTTAGGGTCAGCGAGGGTTTAGGGTTTAGGGTTTAGGGTTTAGGGTTTAGGGTTACCGGGCTGTGTTCTTTCAAAAAGACGGGAAGAAGTCCACGGCGGCTGGTCGACGAACTTCGTGAGGTTTTCCTCGGTTACTAAAACTGCGTCTGTTTCCTTCCTGCCTCGCAAACCCTAAACCCTAAACCCTAAACCCTAAACCCTAAACCCTAAACCCTAAACCCTAAACCCTAAACCCCTAAACCCTAAACCCTAAACCCTAAACCCTAAACCCTAAACCCTAAACCCTAAACCCTAAACCCTAAAACAAAACCCTAAACCCTAAACCCTAAACCCTAAACCCTAAACCCTAAACCCTAAACCCTAAACCCTAAACCGCAAACCCTAAACCCTAAACCCTAAACCCTAAACCCTAAACCCTAAACCCTAAACCCTAAGCTGACCACTGCAGTTGTGTGGCTGCAGCGGCGCTGCTGCCGTCTGGCCGCGGCGCAGGGCGGCAGGGGCTTTGCTGGCCCGCGCAGGTCTCCGGGGCCGCCGGCCCGGAGCCTAGGGCTAGGGTTTAGGGTTTAGGGTTTAGGGTTTAGGGTTTACCGGACGATGGCGAGGGCCGCTCTTCTGAAAAGCTTTTCTATGCACTTCGATAAAGATCTAACCCCCGCCTCTCTGGCGTAGTCCCGGACAATAACATTGAGGGCTGAGGGTTCAATGGAAACCCTCGAGTCGTTCAAGCCTGCGCCAAACCCTAAACCCTAAACCCTAAACCCTAAATCCTAAACCCTAAACCCTGAACCCTAGCGGTCTCCAAGCTGCAGCCGCGGAGTCCTCTGGCCAGCGGTTACAATTCAGGGTTTAGGGTTTGGGGTTTAGCGGAGCCGGGACGCGCCGCCGGATTAGGGTTTAGGGTTTAGGGTTTAGGGTTTAGGGTTTGCCTGTAGCCTCTGCCGTCTTGGGAATCAAATACTGCTTTGCAATTGAGACTTTCTCTTCGTGTATATATCCAGCAATCCGAATTAGCTCCATGCGGTCCAGCAGCGGCCCTGCCAACAAACCCTAAACCCTAAACCCTAAACCCTAAACCCTAAACCCTAAACCCTAAACCCTGAGTGGAAAACCCTAAACCCCAGCAGGACAGCAGCAGCTCTCTCGGGCGAGCACCGAGAGTTCTCAGCGGCGCTGCCCGCAGGCCCCATCGCGCGCGCCGAACCAGCAGGGCTTAGGGTTTAGGGTTTAGGGTTTAGGGTTTAGGGTTTGGACCTGGAATGGCGTCTTGGGCGTTGGCCGTGCACACAAACAAAACCCTCGACAAGTCCACAGGGGCATCCACGTAATGGTCTCGAAATAAATTGTTTTGAGAAGGGTCGAGAACTTCGAGGAGTGCGGAGGCGGGGTCTCCTCGAAAGTCCCTCCCCTGCGCAAACCCTAAACCCTAAACCCTAAACCCTAAACCCTAAACCCCAGCCCCAGGCCCCGCGCCCAGCGCCCCAACCCCCAAACCCGCGAATAACCCCAAACCCTAAACCCTAGACCCTACGCGCCACGGCCCGCCTGCATCGCACTGCCTCCCTGAGCAGGGAGTAGGGTTTAGGGTTTAGGGTTTAGGGTTTAGGGTTTACGAGTTTGTCAATCTCGTCCAAAACTATCAAAGGATTCATTGTTCCCGATAACTTCAAAGCGTTTATTATTTTTCCCGGAAGCGCCCCGATGTAAGTTCGGCGGTGGCCCCGCAGCTCGGCCACGTCAAACAAACCCCCTGCGCCAAAACCCTAAACCCTAAACCCTAAACCCTAAACCCTAAACCCTAAACCCTAAACCCTAAGCCATTAGCGGCGCGCCCTGCGCGGCGCAGCCGCACCCCAGACAAGAATAACCGCGCGGTGTTGGCACTCTGGAGCCCGCGGCTGCGCTTTGGAAACCAGGACCTAGGGTTTAGGGTTTAGGGTTTACGGATTAGGGTTTAGGGTTTAGGGTTTACCTAGAGATATGCGGTAGTACTTTCGCTTCAAAGCCCTCGCAATACTCTCCGCTACGGAGGTCTTGCCCACCCCAGGGGGACCCACGAAACACAGAATCTTGCCCTGAACCGCAAAACCCTAAACCCTAAACCCTAAACCCTAAACCCTAAACCCTAAACCCTAAACCCTAAAGCCTCGGTGCGCCCTAGCGCGCTGCAGCTGGGCAAAACACCAAAGCACTGTCCTACAAACGGTCTAGCTGCCTCGCTGCAGCCCTAAACCCTAAACCCTAAACCCTAAACCCTACACCCTAATCAAGCGTGTTCTCGAAAAATCAGGGTTTAGGGTTTAGGGTTTACTTGGGAATCCTTCTTCAGAATGTTGACAGCGATAAACTCTAAAATGCGTTTCTTTACATCCTCGAGGCCAAAGTGGTCTCTGTCTAAAACCCTCGCGGCCTCTTCAATGTCTGCTCGCAAACCCAAACCCCAAACCCTAAAGCCTAAACCCTAAACCCTAAACCCTAGGCCCCAACCCTCAAACCCTGAAACGCAAACCCTAGGCTCTCAGGCCTCTGTTTGGCCCTGCCGCATCACCTCTCTGCTGGCTTTTGGGGGTTTAGGACTTAGGGTTTTGAACGCCTAAACCCTCCACTTCAGGGCAAAAGGCTCCAAACCCTAAATTAGGGTTTAGGGTTTAGGGTTTGGCCCTCACCTGTGCAGTCCGTGGTGTACTCTCCCCAAGGCAGCTTCAGCAGGTTTTCAATATAAGCTCGGCAGACATGAAATTCAGAAGAAGACTGGTCTAGAGAAGAGAGTTTGTTGAGCTCGCTAGTCACCGCCTAAACCACAAATTAGGGTTTAGGGTTTAGGGTTTAGAGTTTGCTGCAGTCGCTTCTCAGCTGCCAGGAGAATCCGATAGCCGCACCGGCAAAGTTGAAGCGGTGGCACTCTGATCTACGCACCGCCCAAGTAAGGGTTTAGGGTTTAGGGTTTAGGGTTTAGGGTTTAGGGTTTGCTTCTTGCCTTTTGAACCTCTTCGTTCATGAAGGCTTCCTTTTTAGCGAACAGCTCGCGGAATTGCTGCAGAGAAAGCACTAAGCCCTTAGCCGCAAACCCTAAACCCTAGACCCTAAACCCTAAATAATAAGCTGTAAACCCCAAACCCTAAACCCTAAACCCTAGACGGCAAACCCTAAATCCTAGCAGGCTGCACAAGTGCTGCAGCTTGAGGGCGCATCTTGGGCGTGGGGAAAAGCCGCGGCTTCGGGCCAAAGGCGAAAGCTTAGGGTTTAGGGTTTAGGGTTTAGGGTTTAGGGTTTACGTCGACGATTGATTCTTTGTCTTCTTTATTAAACCCTAATTCTTTTTTAATTAACTTCAGCTGCTCATGCAGCAAAAACTTCCGCTGCACTCTCATCACTTTGTCTTCTACTTGGGCCTTCACGTGGACCTGCGCCGCAAACCCTAAACCCTAAACCCTAAACCCTAAACCCTAAACCCTAAACCCTAAACCCTAAACCCTAGGCGGTTCGGGGAGAGGGAAGCGTGGGCAGCAGAGACGTCAGGTTTTTAAAACTGTTGGTGCAGTGCTTTGGGCATAGAGGATTTAAGGTTAGGGTTTAGGGTTTAGGGTTTAGGGTTTAGGGTTTAGGGTTTAGACTTACTTGTAGCTTGGCAAATTCCAAGTCTTTCTTTGCAATCTGCAGAACGAGCATCAGCCGCTTCTCAATATCTTCTTCCTGAACAAACAAACCCTAAACCCTAAACCCTAGCTCTAAACCCTAAACCCTAAACCCTAAACCCTCAGCATGGCCCGCCTGCCCTAAACCCCATCCTTAAAGACCAGGGTTCCAGCTTCAGTATCTCCGCGCTGCAGCTGCCAGGCCTCCTGGGGAATAGAATTAAGGGTTTAGGGTTTAGGGTTTAGGGTTTAGGGTTTAGGGTTTACGGCAAGCACAGCCTGCAGCTCGTCCCGTCGGGCGAAAGAAATCCCAGCCACCAAATCCGCCAACTTCTGGGGGTAGTCGATGTTGTAAAACCTTATAACCTACGACTCAAACCCTAAACCCTAAACCCTAAACCCTAAACCCTAGCCGTAAACCCTGGGCCATGAGCGCCGGTGACTTTGCACTAAACCCTAAACCCTAAACCCTAGGCGCCGGTTACGTCAGTCGGCTTCGCAGTATACCGCAGCAAGCAGCCCACACTGCCTCGGCCTCAAACCCTAAACCCTAAACCCTAAACCCTAAACCCTAAACCCTAAACCCTAACCCTCACTTGATCGAAGTGTTCTTTGTAAAAGTAGGATGTTTTGAGCAGCTCCTTCATGGTGGCTAATATCTCCAAATGCAGCATTCTAATTATGTTGTTGCTGTTGTTGCTGCTGCTGCTGCTGCTGCTGCTGCTGCTGCTGCTGCTGCTAGGACCCTCGCTGCTGCTTAGAGACGCAGAGACAGACTCGCGAGGAAATGACACAGAGACATACAGCAAAGCACTTTTGCTGCTGCTGCTGCTGCTGCTGCTGCTGCTGCTGCTGCTGCTGCTGCTGGGATGGGGCAAAGGCAGCAAAGTCCCAAGCTGCGAACCCGCAAGATCATCGACCCCCTGCTGCTGCTGCTGCTGCTCGTTTTGCTGCTGCTGCTGCTCCTGTTGCTGCTGCTGATGCTGCTGCTGCTCCTGTGAATCCAACTCTACCTGCTTCTCAGCTCCCTGCTGCTGTTGCTGCTGCTGCTGCTGCTGCTGCTCAGAAGCAGCTGCTGCAGCATCTGTGTGCTGCTCGCCTGCTGCTGCTTCCTCTGACTCGACAGCAGCAGCCGCTGCTGCTGCTGGGGCCGCTGCTGCAGTCGGCTCTGCTGCTGCTGCTGCTGCTGCTGTGGCTGCTGCTGCTGCTGCGGCTTCTTCTGGTGACTGTGAAGGGCCCAGTAGCTTGATGCTGAGAAATTGAAAGCCCTAAACCCTAAACCCTAAACCCTAAACCCTAAACCCTAGAATGCTAAACCCTAGACCCTAAACCTGGACCGCTAAACCCAGGACCCTAATTGCATAGGCCTGCTGCGTACGCAAGAGCTTGCGCTTCTAACAGCTTATTAGTGTTTAGGGTTTAGGGTTTAGGGTTTAGGGTTTAGGGTTTAGCAGCTAGGGTTCGGAGCTCCGCGAAAATATTGAGGGTTTGCAATTCCGCTGCCTCCGGCTCCAGCAGCAGCTTGTGCTGCAGGGGCTGCGAGGGTTTAGCGCCCGGGGCAGACGCCCTAGGGTTTAGGGTTTAGGGTTTAGGGTTTAGGGTTTAGGGTTTAGGGTTTACCGGCGGTAAGGCATTACTATGGCCTGGCCCCCCCGCTGCATTGGGTGTGGGGCCAAAGTCAGGAGGTGCAGCAAACAGCCCACATTATGAATTTCATCAACAGAAGAAATGCTTCCTAAACGCAAACCCTAAACCCTAAACCCTAAACCCTAAACCCTAAACCCTAAGCCCTAAACCCTAAACCCTTTCGCCTGCGCTGCGCGCGCAGCCCCCGCGGAAGAACCGCGCAAACGCCCAAACCCTAAACCCTAAACCCTAAACCCTGCGCCCGGGCGGCACACGCCGCAGCCCCAAACCCTAAACCCTAAACCCTAAACCCTAAACCCTAAACCCTAAACCCTCACCTGCGTCTTCCCGCAGCCGCGCCCCCGGCTCCAATTCATCTTCAGGGTTTATTTCTTTCCGCAGCAAAAAACCCCCGACGAAGTCTCTCCAGCCGCCGCTGGTTTTAAGCCGCACCAGTTCTTCAAACAACTGCGCCAAACCCTAAACCCTAAACCCTAAACCCTAAACCCTAAACCCTAAACCCTCACGGTGGACATGCCCAGGCGCAACAAGCGCAGGTCTCGAAGCAACCTCTTGTCGCGGTGCGACAGCCTTTCTGCCCCCCGCAAACCCTAAACCCTAGACCCCGGAACGCGAACCCTAAACCCTAAACCCTAAACCCTAAACCCTAACCTCTTGGTCCGGTATCTGCAGCAGCTGATAAAACCCTGGAAAGGCGGGGCGACGGATAAGGCCAATTGCAGGAAGAGAAGGAAGGCTGGGAGGAGCAGCAGCAGAAACAATAGAAGATATGTTGCTGCTGTCGCTGCCCCACGAGCCTGCTGCTGCTGCTGCTGCTGCTGCTGCTGCTGCTGCTGCTGCTGGGTCTGGGTCTGCAGGGGGCCCCGGGGGCTGCGCGCCTGCTGCTGCTGCTGCGGGGGGGTCCGCGCCTTGCTGCTGCTGCTGCTGCTGCTGCTGCTGCCGGTTGCGACGCAGCAGCCGACCGATGCGGGCTGGAGAAGCCTCTGCTGCTGCTGCTGCTGCTGGTGATGCAGCAGCAGCAGCAGCTGCTGCTGCTGCAGCAGCGGCTGCTGCTGCTGCTGCAGAGGAAGCAACTCCCCTCTCTTCAGATCCAACAGGAGGCGGCGCTGCCTCCCCTGCTTCCTGCTGCAGCTTCTGCTGTTGCTGCTGTTGCTGTTGCTGCTGCTGCTGCTGCTGCTGTTGCTGCTGCTGCTGCTGCTTCCTCGAGCGCCGGCCAAACGAAAAGTAGCGAGCTCCTCCGTAGGATTTGCTGCTGCTGCTGCTGCTGCTGAAGGTCAAGGCACCGTGGCTGCCACCTCTCCACTTTAGCTTGCTGCTGCTGCTGCTGCTGTGCAGGCTTGCGCTGCTGCTGCTGCTGCTGCTGCTGCAGCACGGGCTGCACAAGGGGAGTGAGCACACGACGCTGCTGCTGCTGCTGCTGCTGCTGCTGACAGTATGATGGCGCAGCAGAAAGAGAAGCTGCTGCGGCTGCCCCGATAGCCAAAGCTTTCTTGCAGCAGCAGGAGCAGCAGCAGCAGCAGCAGCAGCAGATGCTGCTGCTGCTGCTGCGCAGTGCTGCATTTTCAATCTTCGCGGATCTCTTGGTGGTGGAGGTGCTGCTGCTGCTGCTGCACTTTGCTGATTTTGGTCCTGGTGGTTTGGCAGCTCTTGCTGCTGCTGCTGCTGCTGCTGCTGCTGCTGCTGCGGTTTGCGCTGCTGCTGCTGCTGCTGCTGCGTAAAGGTATCAGAAGAGTTCTTTGTAGCCTTTCTGTTTTTTTGCTGCTGTGCGGCTTCACCCCACAGCAGCACTTGCTGCTTCCTCCCGTTGCTGCTGCTGCTGCTGCTGCGCCTTGGCAGCAGCTGAAGCTCCTTCCGCTGCTGCTGCTGCTGCTGCAGCAGCAAGGAGACCCTGCAGCAGACAGAATGACAAAAGTTATGTTAAATGACTAAAAGGCAAGTGCGCAGTCCTTGCTGCTGCTGCTGCTGCTGCTGCTGCATGCGCTTCCAGCATCGGCGGCGGTTCGTGCAGCAGCAGCAATAGCAGCAGCAGCAGCAGCGACAGCAGCAGCAGCAGCAACAGCAGCAGCGGCAATAACACTTCTTTGAAGTCTCAACTATGATTCCAATGCAGCTGCAGCAGCACGCTACGGGGACTCCCGACCGTAGCTGCTGCTGCAGCAGCAACTGCAGCAGCAGCACCGACTGCAGCAACAGCAGCAACAACAGCAGCAGTTTTGCTGCTTTGAGCTTTCTCTCTTCACGAAGCAAGTGAGTCTCGACATTCAAAGAGCCTCCAGTGGCTGCAGCAGCAGCAGAAGCAGCAGCAGCAGCAGCAGCAGCAGCAGGATGTGTCTTGCCGATCCCGTGATTTGAGGATGTCTCCTCGTAACGGAGAAGCAGCAGCAGCAGCAGAAGCAGCAGCAGCAGAAGGAGAAGCACCAGCAGCAGCAGTGAAAATGGAGCAGGAAGGAGACACGCAGCTGCAGCAGCAAACTGGGGAGAAGGAGGAGCAGCAGCCGCAGCACCAGCAGCACCAGCAGCTGCAGCAACAGCAGCTGCAACAGCAGCAGCTGCAGCAACAGCAGCTGCAGCAGCAGCAGCTGCTGCTGCAGGAACAGCAGCTGCAGCATCAGCAGATGCAGCAACAGCACCAGCAGCAGCAGCAGCACCAGCACCAGCTGCAGCAGCAGCAGCAACAGGAGCTGCAGCAGCAGCAGCAACAGGAGCTGCAGCAGCAGCAGCTGCAGCAACAGCAGCTGCAGCATCAGCAGATGCAGCAACAGCACCAGCAGCAGCAGCAGCAGCAGCACCAGCAGCAGCAGCAGCAGCAACAGGAGCTGCAGCAGCAGCAACAACAGGAGCTGCAGCAGCAGCAGCAGCAGCAACAGCCGCAGCAGGAGCAGCAGGCGCAGCAAAGGCAGCGGAAGCACGAAGAGAAACCGAAGGAGCAGCAGGAGCAGCAGCAGAAGCGGAGAAAGCAAAAGCACAAGCAGCAGCAGCAGCAACAGCAGCAGCTGCAGCAAGAGCAGCAGCAGCAGCAGCAGGTAAGCCTGGAGGACAAGGGACAGCATCAGCAGCAGCAAAAGCAGCACAGGACGAAGCAGCGAAAGCAGCAAACGCAGCAGCAGCAGCAGCAGCAGCAGCAGCAGCAGCAGCAGCAAAAGCATCAAAGGAAAAAGGCGCAGCGTGATTCGGCTCAGCAGCAGCAAAGGCCGCAGCAGCAGCAGCGGCAGCAGCAGCGAAAGAAGCCCCAGCAGCAGCAGAAAGCAGCGCAGCAGAAGCAACAGACGAGGAAGCGGCGAAAGCAGCAGCAGCAGCAGCAGCAGCAGCAGCAACAGCAGCAGCAGCAGCAGCAGCAGCAGCACGCCGCAGAGCAGCAGCAGCTGCAAGCAGAGCAGCAACCAGAGCAAACAGGTCAGCAGCTGCAGCAGCGAACCGAAGAGCAGCAGCAGCAGCAGCAGCAGCAGCAAGAGCACCCTGAAAAGGGGGATGGGAGGAAAGGAAAGAAGAAACAGCAGCAGCAGCAGCAGCAGCAGCAGCAGCAGCAAAAGCAACGGAAGAGACGTAGGAGAGAGAATGAGGAGCAGCAGCAGCAGCAGCAACGGAAGAAGCGTAAAGGGGACAAGGAGCAGCAGCAGCAGCAGCAGCAACGGAAAAAGCGAAAAGGAGATGAGCAGCAGCAGCAGCAGCAGCAGCAACGGAAAAAGCGAAAGGGAGACGAGCAGCAGCAGCAGCAGCAGCAGCAGCGAAGCAAGAAAAGTAAGGGGGCCAAGGAGCAGCAGCAGCAGCAGCAACGCAAGAAAAGCAAGGGAAAAAAGGAGCAGCAGCAGCAGCAGCAGCGGCAACGGAAGAAAAGTAAGGGGGACAAGGAGCAGCAGCAGCAGCAGCAGCAGCAGCAGCAGCAGCAGCAACGCAAGAAAAGTAAAGGAGACAAAGAGCAGCAGCAGCAGCAGCAGCAGCAACGGCAAAAGAAGCAAAAGGGAATCAAGCAGCAGCAGCGAGGGCGGAAGCGAAAGCAGCGCCCTGTCGAGGAAGAGCAGCAGCAGCAGCAGCAGCAGCAGCAGCAGCAGCAGGAGACGGGGGAAGCAGCAGCAGCACAAGGGAAGAAGCAGCTTAATCCAAAGCGAGAGCAGCAACAGCAGCAGCAGCAGCAGAAGCAGCAGCAGAAGCAGCAGCTGCTGGCTCTCTCCGAGCTGCAGCAGCAGCTGCGGTGCCTCAAGGGCCTCCGCTTCTTGCAGCCAGCAGCTCTTGCTGCTGCAGCACCTGCCTTGCTGCTGCAGCCGCTGCTGCTGCCTACCGAGGAGCAGCAGCAGCAGCAGCAGCAGCAGCAGCAGCAGCGAAAGTGGGACCAGAGCAGGCAGTTAGAATGTCACAGTGCTGCTGCAGATAACAGCAGCAGCAGCAGCAGCAGCAATGTTCTCTGCAGCCGCTGCTGCTGCAGCAGCACGTGGATTGCTGCTGTTCCTGCGGCTGCGATCCCCAGAGGGTTTGCATTTGCTGCAGTCACTGTAATGCTTGAGGACCAGCAGCAGCAGCAGCAGCAGCAGCAGCAACTGCAGCAGCAGCAGCAGCAGCAACTGCAGCAGCAGCAGCAGCAGCAGCAACTGCAGGAGCAGCCGCAGCAGCAGCAGCAGCAGCAGCAACTGCAGCAGCAGCAGCAGCAACTGCAGCAGCAGCAGCAGCAGCGGCAACTGCAGCAGCAGCAGCAACTGCAACAAGAAGAAGAGCAGCTGCTGCTGAAGACACCTGTGCTGCTGATTGGGAGAGGAACTCGTGACTGCTGCACCTTTGAGGTAAGATGCTGCTTTTGCTGCTGCTGCTGCTGCAGTTGCTGCTGCTGCAGTTGCTGCTGCTAGTGGCGAACTTTGCTGCTTTTAAGGACCTTGCTGCTGCTTCTCGTTTAGCTGCTGCTGTTGCTTGTGGTGCTGCTGCAGCGCGGCACCGCAGCGGACCTTGCTGCGTTTGTTGCTGCTCGCCAAGCCAGCAGCAGCAGGAGCAGCAACAGCAGCAGCAGCAGCAACAGCAGCAGCAGCAGCAGCAGCAGCAGAAACGGCCGCTGTGACTCTCCTGAAAGTCGAGAGTTAGCAGCAGCAGCAGGCCTTCCAGCAGCAGAAAACTCAGCAGCGCCAGCAGCAGCAGCAGCAGCAGCAGCAGCAGCAGCAGCAGCAGCAGCAGCAGTGCCACCTGAGACAGCAGCAGCAGCACCAGACTGCGTCTCGAAGCTTTTGCTGCCCCGGCAGTGCCGCAGCGTCTCCCGCTTTCACGCAGCGATTTGCTACCAACCTGTAAACCCTAAACCCTAAACCCTAAACCCTAAACCCTAATTCTGCAGCATCTGGCGCTCAGGAACTTGATTGTTGCCTTCTTCCCTGCAGCAGCTCACGCGAAAGCTGCGTAACCCCTAAGCGCTTAAAAGATTAGTGTTTAGTGTTTAGGGTTTAGGGTTTAGGGTTTAGGGTTTAGGGTTTAGGGTTTGTGCGCAGGCCAGCGGCAGGTGGGTCTTGACAAATTTTTCCCCACGGCGAATTTTTGTTGCTGCTGAATTCTGCAGCGCAGCAGAGCAGCAGCAGCTGCAGCAGCAGGAGGAGGCTAGGCCTGGTAAACCCTAAACCCTAAACCCTAAACCCTAAACCCTAATTGCAGCCGCGAGCTCTGCCTCAGAGCTTCCCGCAGCCCGCTGCAGTGTCAGGTGAAGCTATTTTTGCGGTTGTCTCACTGCCTGCTGCTGCTGCGTGTGCTGCTGCTGCTTCTGCTGCTGCTGCTGCTGTTGCTGCTGCTGCTGCTGCTGCTGCTGCTGCTGCTGCAGGAGAAGGTGTTGAGAATGGGGGCTACGCTTTGAACCTTCGAGAGCCTCTTTGCGTCTCGCCGTGGAAGTACCGCATCATGCAGCAGCAGCAGCAGCAAGAGCAGCAGCAGCAGCAGCAAGAGCAGCAGCAGCAGCAGCAGCAAGAGCAGCAGCAGCAGCAGCAGCATTTGATGGCAGACGGGGTTAAGGGATCGCATCAGCAGGAAAACAACAGCAGCGAAGGGGCTGCTGCTTCTCTGTGCAGAAACAGCAGCAGCTGCAAGATCAACAGCAGCAGCAGCAGCAGCAGCAGTAGCCTTAAGATCAGCAGCAACTGCAGCAGCAGCAGCAGCTGCTGCTGCTGCTGCGACAGCAGCAGCTGTGTCTTGAGCCCCCGGGCAATTTTGCAGTTGGCGAAAAACCTCCAACTGATTTGGCGGCTGCCGCTTCCCATCGCGGCCCAGTCATCGTAAACCCTAAACCCTAAACCCTAAACCCTAAACCCTTGCTACGGCGAAGCTCCGCGGCTGAGCTCGGCTAAACCCTAAACCCTTGCGCGGGCTTCAAGTCTTCAGGATGACGTGAATGTTTGCAGCCAAGGCAGCAGCAACTTTAGGGTTTAGGGTTTAGGGTTTAGGGTTTAGGGTTTGCTTGGGGTTTGTTGATGCTGCAGGACTGCCCTGAGGCGGTTTGTGCGCGACATTTCAAGCAGCAAAGTGCAGCAGCAGCAGCAGCAGCAGAAGCACGTGCTTCAGCTGCAGCAGCAGCAACTGCAGCAAGGCCTAGCTCTTGACAGCAGCAACACTGCGCTGCAGCTGCAGCTGCAGCAGCTGGAACAGCAGCAGGCGGAGGCGCAGCAGCAAAAGCAGATTCGGAAGCAGCAGCAGCAGCAGCAACAGCAGCAACAGCAGCAAGAGCAGAATGCAGGTGTCAAGCACGAAGAACAGCAGCAGCAGCAGCAGCAGCAGGTACTGCAGCAAAAATGAACAGCTGCTGCAGCAACAGCAGGCATTGTAGCAGCAGGGAGCAACTGCTGCTGCAGCAGTGAGCAGCTGCTGCAGCAATAGCAGCTGCAGCAGCAAGAACAGCAGTTACTAAAGCAGCAGGGATCAACCGCTGTTGCAGCAGCAGCAGCAGCAGCAGCGTTTGCGGCGGCTGAAAACAGCAGCCGCAGCAGGAGGGAGCAGCAAAAGCTAATGCACAGGCTTTGAAGCAGCAGCAGCAGCAGCAGCAGCAGCAGCAGCAGCAGCAGCAGCAGCAGAAGCAGCACTCAAGTGACATTGCTGCAGCTGCAGCTACTGGTTTTATTCGCTAAGTTCGAAATTGCTGCAGCAAAAGCCACACTCAGAGAGTCTCTGGAGGCCAGCAGCAGCAGCAGCAGCAGCAGCAGCAACAGTTGGCGCTGCTGCTGCTGCCGTTTACAAAGCGTGTTGAGAAGCAGCAGCAGCAGACGCAGCAGCAGAAAGAGCTGCCGCTGCTGCTGCTGCTCTGCACAGTTTTTAAAGGATTTATGGACCCAGTTGTTTGTGAAAAGAGGGTTTATGGTTAGGGTTTAGGGTTTAGGGTTTAGTCTATTGAGTGTTTTCCTTGAAAGATATGTTGTGGTCTGCAATATGCTTCCACCGCTGCCTGCAGCACAAATCATCATATCAGGGTTTAGGGTTTAGGGTTTAGGGTTTAGGGTTTAGGGTTTAGGATTCTGAGTTCTCTGACTCCACTGTAGCAGAAATTGCACGCAGTTGCCCCTAGGGTTTAGGGTTTAGGGTTTAGGGTTTAGGGTTTACCTGTTTTTCCGCATTTGAGCTGCGCGTTCTCCGAGCTGCGCTGGGAACATTAGGGCTAAGTTATTGAACAAGGGTTTGCAGATGAAGTCTGCAGGCAGCAGCAGGGTTTAGGGTTTAGGGTTTAGGGTTTAGGGTTTAGGGTTTAGGGTTTGGGGATAGAAGGAGGGACTGCCCTTGGCCGAGGCCCCGTCATCAGCAAACCCTAAACCCTCCCACCCAAGAATTGAGGAACCGGGGCTTCTAGCTGCAGCTCCTAGGGTTTAGGGTTTAGGGTTTAGGGTTTAGGGTTTAGGGTTTACCGATGAAACCTATCTGGGCTTTGGCAATGTGAAACTCGTCGAGGTTTTGCAGCGCTGGGTTGAAGGGCGGCTGGCCGAGGGACTCCTCGAGTTTGTTCTGCGGCGCAGCAATTAGGGTTTAGGGTTTAGGGTTTAGGGTTTAGGGTTTAGGGTTTAGGGGTGTTCATGGAGCGCGCTTGTGGGTCCGGCGTTCAGGTCTGTCTGGTGAAGGGTTTGAGATTTAGGGTTTAGGGTTTAGGGTTTGGGCTTTGCCTGGTTATAAAACTCATCGCAGGCCCTGATGGCCCAGTCTCTGCACTTGTCAAACCCTAAAAGAGGGTTTGAGATGTCTGCTGAGTGCAGCAGCAAACCCTCCAAGTAGTCTTTCTTCAAAGTGCACATTATCCCTTCAGACAGCACCATCTCTCCCTGCAGCAGCAGCAGCAGCAGCAGCAGCATCCCCAGCAGCAGCAGCCACATCCTCGGCAGCAGCCACATCCTCAGCAGCAGCAGCAGCAGCAGCAGCCACATCCTTGGCAGGAGCCACATCCTCAGCAGCAGCAGCAGCAGC